TAATGCAATTCTATTAGTAAAAAATATATAATATTATAATATAATGAATTATATATTTTACACAACAAAAAAAAGTGTTTCATGATATATACACCAAAGAGTAATAAACTTCTAAATAAAACATAAAAGCTGTCATTATTAAATTGTACTTACTTTTAATAAAAGTGTTCTTAGATTTTTAAGCTATCAATATCAATATCTAAGGATAGAATAGTTTAATAGTAATTAGTTTTTTAAGCTTGTTTGCAAAAAAAAAAAAAATTAGCTCAGTATGAAAGAAGTAAAAGGAGAAGAAGAGAGCGGAGAACGACAAAACAGCGAAGTTCTTGTTAGGAGGGAAGCAGATGGGTCGGCCTTGGTGTCAGTGTCAGCGTTGGCTTCGTCGTCAGTGTCGGATTTGTTCGTCGTAGCTGCGAAGGATGGAGGTCGCGCGGAGGAGATCGCGAGAGGTCCAGACGACGTATAGAATGAGCTAGGGCTTTAGCGTCGACTTCGTCGTCAGTGTGGCCATCGTCAAAGGAGATCGCGATCTTAGGAGGCGGATCGCTCGCGCTCGGAGGAGATCGCTCGCTGGAGAGAGCTCGTGCTTGGAGGAGATCCCGCGAAAGAGAGGTTGGGACAAGGTAATGCGCTTGGAGGCTGAGGCGCGGTTTACTTCCAATTTCGCGCCTTAATTTTCATTTGGTGCGAATTAATAACATAAAAGAAGCGGTTTAAGACCGCTGTGATTTCATGTCTATGACAGCGGTATTTATTTTGCTGCTAATAAATGCTGCAAAAAACATCTATTTTTAGTAGTGTAAGAAGTCGTGCTTCACCTTAGTCATTTGATAATAATCATCTAATAATAGCAAACTATTTATATTTAAATAATTTCACAAAACAAACTAAAAATAGTTCAACCCAATTACTTTCTTTAGCACTTCATAATATTAAGTTAATCACACATAAACCTCATAGGAATTGACCCCTTACAAACACACAATTTTCATTGTTGTCCTTTTACCCTTATGTATAAAATTTATATCAATTAATAAAATAATCATTATTGCTCTTCTAGACTTAAAAAATTTGCTTTAAAAAATAATAAAAAAATAGTCTCAAACGAAGCCTTATAGTAAGCATCATAATTATTTGATTCAGAGTCAAATCTTTATAAGATGTCTATGATAATAATATATAAATATACATGTATTACATTACTTGGTCTAACCAAAAAGATAAATTTAATTAAATATCTTGAATTTGTCAACTTACCATTATTTTATTCATTTGGAAATTCCTCTTCTTGAATCTTATTAAATTATTCTTCGATTATACACAAAATATCTCTATATTTCTTAGCATCAACATCAACTATATTGCATGATAATTTTTTTTTAATAATTTTATAAACATTAATAAACTTGAACATAAAGTGATAATTTTCATTAAATTTTATAAATATTCTTTTTGGCAAGTATTGGATGTATTTAGGGGTGTCAAAATAGGTATTCGGATCTGGTTCGGGTCGGACCAAGAATTGACTTGGGTCCAATTCAACTGATCTGAGCCCAAGCTGTTTTTTATAAATGGATCATAAATTCAGACACAGACCAAATCCGTCGGGTTATCGGGTTGACCCAAACTGACATGTAACCCTCATCTGCAAGAGCACAACACACGAGCTTCTAGTGCGGGGCACATGCAAGACTGCATGAGCGCGACTGCGCGAGTTGGTGCACGAGTTAGATGCAAGCTCTGTCGGTGTCGATGCACGGCTGTAGACTACAAGCGGGGGAGGTCAAGGTTGTGTCGTCGCAACTACGCGACTACACGTATGTGCATGCGTAACATCTAGCAAGGGTGGGATGGCGCGAGTGCGGGTGTGCGAGTGCAGGGTGAGGGCTGCTAGTGCGGGTGTGAGCGTTAGGGTGCTCAAGATTCAAGTGCAGGGCAAGGTGTTGTGCATGGTTTACTGGCGAGTTCAAATGGGGACAGGTCCAATCTGAGTCAAATTCGAGTTACGTGTTGACCCGTACCCTATCTAATTTTTCAAACGGGTCTTAAATTGGAACAAAAAACCAACCCCTTTGTTAACCCGAACTCAAATTTTCCAGTTAGTTTTTTGTCGGATTATCGGGTCGGCTTAATAATTGACACCCCTAAATATATGCTTTAAAGGCTTCCTAATATTTTTAAAATTTGAAAGATATTCCATATCACTTTTGCACTTCGGTCCAAATCTAAAATGCAGATATCCTTAAATAAATATGCCTCTCATATCGAACCTTCAACTTTCTTAAAAGTTTTTGTATGCCTCAAGTTACAAATTAAAATATGTGAGTAAATGTTTGCTTAACAATTATAATAAAATAAATTTGAAATCTGTACTTAAAAGTATATTAAAAAAATTATATCTTTTAAATGGATATATTCTTCTATATTGAATGAGACTTCCAACTCTTGTGTTATATGCCATGCTAATATATAATTATTTTATTAAATTATAAATTAATGCTAATAATATTTTCTCAAACATGAAAAGAATTACCGCTATCATATATTCAGTATTCATTATTATTACACATGAATGACAGATTAATAATCGGCTATGTCTACTATGCAAAGCATTCTCACTCACATCACGCGAAATTATTACATGCGGTCATCAGATACGGTATGAAGGTCAATCAGATTGCGTCATGTCACCAATTTATTGTGTATCGCTACAGTGTACCCTTATGTATCGGATGAGATGGCGAGTCCTGATTGACCTCCAGATGGTCTGGTGATCGCGCATAATAATCTCTCCAACATCGGAACCAGCATCAGCATTGGGGGTTTCATACAAGGCGCAGACAAGTTCAGTAAATTGTCATGCCAATAACCTCATGGGGCATTCATGTGAGTTCGACGAGTTTTCACATAGGCACTCAAAAATGAGGTTTCACGCAAATTCAAGTATCGTTTGGATGGCTTTGTTATTGCTATGTTTAGGATGACTTTTTTACTACTTTCAAAAGTAATTTTTTAGTAAAAAATCATTCTACTAAAAAAATGTTTTAAAAACGGTAAGAAAGATATTCAAACAAAGCTTAAGACTTCATTTAAAACAGTTTTCTTTCTACTTTCATATTTTTAGTACATTTTTTTCTAAAAAATAATAATAAAATACAGCAATCAAAAGCTGTCTCAAACGAAACCTAAGCCTTCATGTAGATAACTTTTCTTACTGTTTTATTCAATAACTTTCTAACCCAATTTTTTTTTGAAATTAGTGAAAATAATGATGAAAAACTGTCCCAGGTTAAGGTCAATATAATTTTATTTTGTGATTTCTACTTCTCATACTCTCAATTTGAGAATCAATTGGACATCATTTGGTTGCTTTTGACTCAAACCTAAAGCGGGTCGGATTCGAGTTTTGAAAACCGACCCATTTGCAAAACTGGTTGACCCGAAAACCCGGAACTTACCCGGAGTGACCCGAAAAAACAAGTATGTCTGCTCTAGCCACCCCTGCACGAGTCTACCCGCATAGCCTGCCCCGCTTGGCCTGCGATCCACTTGCACGTCTGCCCCGGCTGCCCCCATCACATCGCGCCATCGCATCAGGAGACGGCATCGAGTCGCATCGCATGCCAGCTATAGCGTCACCGCCTGCACCATTGTCGCATCACCACCTGCACCGCTCGCGTTGTCACTGCCCTGCTGACAGCCACTGCCATTTTCCACTGTCAAAGGACCGAACCGTGTGCAAAAAATCAAATAAGGTTTGAGTCTTATGGGTCGGGTCGAATTGACCCGAACCTGAAGTGGGTCGGATTCATGTCCGAATAACCGACCCGTTTTTCAGGTTGGCCCGAATGGTGCCTAGTCAATTCCAGGTTCAACCCAAACCCGACCCTAAATTAAATTATATGTTGAAATTTCATGTTTTTATTTTCTTGGAGGAGAAATGAAAAATTGTTTTAAAGAAAATTTCGTACATACTAAAAATTTCATCTATATTAAGAAAATTTAGTACATACTAAAAATTTCTTCTATATTTAGGTATCTAATATATAAAAATTTATAATTATTTATAATACTGAAATCCCAAAATTTTATTAAAAAATCACTATTATTAACTTATTTAAAATTTAAAATATATTTTTACAATACTTTAATAAGATTTAAACTTTATAATAATACATAAATAAATATTAAATTCAGTTGTTAGATTTTTACGATATGTATATAAATACCAAAAATTAAAAAAAAATAAAATAAAAGGTGAGCTATAAAGAAAGACAAGTCCATGGAAACGGATCCGAAGCCGATCGTCCTTTTTTGGGCGATCAGAAACATTTGCAGACCCCTTTGATCTCTAGCTTTTTGTCTGCCACGCCTGGACCCACCACACGCTCAGCTTTCCAATTTTTTAAAACTTTTTATTTTTTTTATTTTTAATTTAATGCACAAAACTTCTATTTTACCTAAAAAAAACATTAATCTATTTTGATCTAATTAATATTCTCCTCAAATTTTAATCTGATTTAAATCAAAATTATTCCAAATTACTTTTATTCAAATTAAGGATCCATCAAAAGAGAAATTATTACGTGCGAACGCCGAACGAAGTTCACCGTCCGGAGACCAACCAGAATGCACCACGTCAGTGGTACAGAACCGCAGTACCGAACAGTACCGAGCAGGGGGTGACATGGCACATTCTGGTTAGTCTCCTAACGACGTTCGGCATCCGCACAAAATAATTTCTCCTATCTAATATGACTATAACTTATCATAGAGATAATTATAAAAGTATTATTGAGCAAGTAATTTTTTTGAAAGCTAATGTAAAAAGTAGTTTTCTAAAATAAAAATTTCTTAAAAAATATTAGTAAAATAGAAATTATGATTGAGGTCCCGTAAATAACGCAGTAAGAAAGCATTCCAAATGAAGCTTAAAATAAAACAAATTACATAAAATACATATTTACAATGTGATGAGAAGAGAATTTTCAAATAAAGTGTAAAAGAAAAGCTAATTTTATGAGCTCATGAGAATAAATACTTCAAAAATATTCATAATAGATTGATACTCAGAACAAAAGATCACAAAAAAAGGAGGAGAAAAAAAAAAGCCTATCTTGAAAGAATCCATGACTTAATTCAAATTGTTAACAAAAATATATTCAAAAAGCAAGATGTCATAGAATGAGATCGACCTTAAATCATGATGTCGTGTTTAGTGCTCCACATAGTAAAAAGACCGTCTTTTTTTGGGACATTTGAACCATCAAGACAAATTCGCACACACATCACATACACAAGTTTCGAATCCAAGACCTCTTGATTAATAATCAAAGCTCCCAACAAACAAATCAATATGTGGTACGTAAAAAAAGGTCATCTTTATGCATAAAATCTTATAGCAGCTCTACATGTTATAGGTGTTGCTGAGAAAAGATAGAGAAGTCAAGCCCACCTTTAGACTTAGGCCTAATTGTATGATCTCAAAATAGGATTGAAGCTCATTAGAAAGATCTCCATCAAAGAGAAACTTAGAACACTATATGCTCATCATTTTGATAATGTTTTAGAGATGGGAGACAGATCTAAACTAAGAGGAGATATAGCTCCAAACAGAATATTCAATAAACTAGAGCCAAACTATTCAATTTTGGGATTAATTATTCTGTGCAGATGCCGAACGTCATCCGAAGACCAACCATAATTCGCCGCATCACCCCACCGCTCGGTACAGCTGATATGACGCATTCTGGTTGATCTCCGGATGACGTTCTGTGTCCGGTCTCCGCACAGAATAATTTCTCTATTTTGGAGTGTCTAGAAAGCAATATATTCCTTTACAAAAAGCAAAGATGAAAATAATGGAATTCTTGTGTAGTTCAAAGGCAATAAAGTGCAATTGAAATCAAGAATTACCTGCAGAAATTTATGTTTAGCTATAGATTTGCCAAAGATGAGACTGGAATTATACTGGGAGTTAATCAAGCATTCTTGTGAACACACACAGACTGTTTTGTGATCAGTTTGCCCACAAGTGAGCTATGTCATCTGCATAATTTAAGTGAGAAAAAAAACTCTTTATTGTTGCTGCCAGCTAACTTTTAGTTGAAAAAAAATTGAAAATTGTTGACAAAATCCTGAATTCCAATCTCGCCAACATCAAATTTGTGCCATAGCACTTGCCTTATGAAAATATATAAAAAAAGGCCTTAACTAGCCACATTATCATAAGTACATAAAAAATGCATCTTTCGATGAGAGAAAAGAAGATATCTTACTGCTTCGTAAGTAACTTTTTAATACAAAAAATTCTAACTCAATAAAATTTTGTACTAAAAAATTTCTTCATGAAATAATAAGAAATTTGTCAGCCTAAGTTAAAAGAACATAAGAATACAAAAAAACAATGATTAATAATTACAAAAAAAACAAAGATGTATATTATCCATTTAAAACTTCATATCACAAAAAAAAAAAAAAAAAAAAAAAAAACGGAAGAATAAAAAATTATCCTAAAATAAATTCATGCCTGAAATTCTAAAAGTAATTTTTGATCTTCCAATAATCAAATGGTCAAAAACCATTGTCTTTCCAAAAATAAGTATTAAAGTTTGTAATAAGTTTCCATGAAAACATTCATGGTCAACTACCCTTTCTCTTGCATGTGATGTTTTATCTTCTTAAGACTTGAAATGCTTATAAATATCATGAAATTTATAACATGACGATATATTTGATGAGTTGAAATTTGAATGTGGGAAGATTATTCTAGTGGCTTGGGCTTGAATGGTGAGAACACCTAAAGCTCTTAGCATGGTGGCTAGAGTTTACCTCCTAGCTGAGAGAAATGTTTCTTTTTTATTTTATTGAATTTTCTTTACAATTTTTATTGTATTCTATTCCTGGCTTTCCCCTCTATTGAATTGAAGTTTCCAATTTCATTCGCACACTTCTATACCAAGCTTACTCACAAATAGCCAAACCAACCTAAATCTATCCAAATCGGAGTTCCCATTGCATCGGGCTTGTTGTGTGATAGAAAAGTCCCCCTCGAAAACTCTATAAGAAGTTGGTGAGACCTGAAATTCTTTATGATGCAAAATGTTGGCCATTAAAAGAGAAACATAATATTAAGTGTTGCAGAGATGTGGATGCTCAGGTGGATGAGTGGTTTTACTCTTAGAGATATGATACAAAATGAGCATACATGTGAAAAGGTTGCAGTAGCTCCAGTGAAAGATAAGATTAGAGAGAGTCGCCTTAGATAGTTTGGTCACATGAAATGAAGGCATTCCAATGATCCAGTGAGGAGGGTAGATGAATTAAATTTGGCTTATATTAAGAAAGATAGAGGTAGACTAAAAAAACTTGGTTAAAAAAATATTAGAAATGACCTTTCTTTATTAGATTTAAATGAGAATTTAACTCTTAACATGACATAATGGAGAATAAGGATTCAGGTAGCCAACACAACGTAGTGAGATAAATGCTTGATGTCATTGTTGTTTGTTCTTGTTGTATTTGTAAAGAGGAAACGGTTAGCTTAGACTACAATTTATCTTTTCTTTCATTTGCATCTAAATATTTGCATGTTTCCCTTCTAATATCACAATGCATATTTACTTTCACTTTTTTTTTTAAATGTCTGATAGGAAGTAACATATCAACAGAGACAAAAAACAACAAAATGCTCAACAAATCCCATGGGAAAATCAACAAAACATAATTTTTATTAAAGAAATCAAACTAACAAAAGAAATAAAGCGAGATACAATTGATCCTCTATTTGAGAGGATCTATCTCTCCCAGATCTCTAGACGCCGCTAGAGCCCAAAAAAACTAAACTTAAGATATCTCAAATTTCAGCCTAATTCAAGATGAAAATTCTAACCCTTACAAGAGAAACTATTTAAAGCAAAGAGTATTACAAAATCACTAAACAATCTCTAATTCAAAATTTCCCCTCCAAAGCAATATTTAATTGAGTTGTTCCCTCCCAAAGCAATATTAATTGAGTTGTTTCCTCCGAAAACAATATTTAATTGAGTTGTTCCCTCCCAAAGCATTATTTAATTGAGTTGTTCCCTCCCAAAGCAATATTTAATTGAGTTGTTCCCTCCAAAGCAATATTTAATTAAATCCCCTAATTCAAATTGGACCGATCTAACAATACTCACCTCCCAAAGATCCACCTTGTCCTCAAGGTGGAATGATGAGATGTTGTTGATAGCTTTATTCAACTGCTTTGTTAGTGGCCATGCTATCGTCCACTGGAACCAAGCTAAAGCTTTACTCTCTAGACATAGCCATGCAACCATAAACTTCACCTCCTCAGTCAACTCATTAACTATGAAATATATCTCCACCCGGTACATACACCCATAAGCATCCTCCCTTTTAAATACTGGCATTCCCCACTTCCTCACCCTAGGATCACTACCACCCCAATAACTTCTTCCTTCTCCAGCATAGCAGTTCTCTTGATCCCTCCATATTTCCCTCATGTATCGTGGGTGGGAATCCCACCTTCCTTCCCTTCGCCTCACATGACTTGATCCTCATGATTTGGCCCATCCCCCTCCTTCGGTCGTCCTCTTCCCTTGCCAAAAAGACCTCCTATAGGAGTCGGCCACCCCACCACCTTCACCACAAAATGCCCTTCCTGATGTCCCCCATCTGATAACCCTATTCCACCAATTTTTGGAGCCCTAGGAGGTGGCTCTTGACCCCCTCATCCGATGAGTGGCTCCCCTTGCCCAAAATACCTCTCATAGTGGTCGGCCACCCTACCGCCTCTGTCAAAAAATTTCATCTTTATTATCCCCTCATCCAGAGACCCTGATCCACTCTTTATCAGAGCCACGGGAGGTGGCTCTTGATGAAAGAAACTCCCCTCACCAAACTCCTCTTGCTTTGCTTCGGCCAAGGGAATCCCGGACAAATCTTGGTTAGGGTTAGCCATCATAACCATTCTTGAAGTTTTTGTTTGCATCACCAAAAGCCTTCTTAACATCTCCTCCACCCTTCTAAATCGATTTTCCATATGGTTTTCCATATATGAAAATCTTTCTTTCATGGTAGAAAACTTCTTCACGCCGGTTTTGAATTGCTCCATCTCTCCCCTTCCAGCGCCTCCATCTTCTTTGTTGTCATTAATTAGATCTAAGCTCCAATTGCAAAAACAACAAAGATATCATATTTTTTCGCCCAAGAAAGCGCTTTGATACCAATTTGATATGAAGTAACCTATCAATAGAGACAATAAACAACAAAATGCTCCACAAATTTCATGAGAAAATCAACAAAACAGTAATTTTTATTAAAGAAATCAAACTACCAGAAGAAATAAAGCAAGATACAATTGATCTTCTATTTGAGAGGAGGTTCTATCTCTACCAAATCTCTAGACGCCACTAGAGCCCCAAAAAACTAAACCTAAGAGATCTCAAATTTCAGCCAAATTCAAGATGAAAACTGTTAGACCGGTCCAGCCGGTTCGCACGGGACAGGCAGTTCGCGATTTACACGATATCTCCACCTCCTACGAAGATCAGGCAGCCCGACCGCTCAAGGAGAGCATTTTAGGAATTGCGTTTTTGAAGGTTTTGAGAGGGAAATTTGAATGTAGGGACTGTTTAGGGATTTCCTTTTGATTTGTATGCATTAAATAGTTGATTTTTCTAGGGTTTGAGGGTCATGAATTTGGCTGAAATTTGAGATCTCTTAGATTTAGGTTTTCTTTGGGCTCTGGGTGTTGCCAGAGATTTGGGAGAGATCGATCCTCCTCTCGAATTGAGGATCAATTGTAGCTTGCTATTTTATTCAGCGTCTAAGTGGAATACAAGTCTTTTCTTGAGTTTTCTCTCATACTTTCCCATACAAGTGCTGTTTTTCTACTGTAAACAGTAGATTTCTGTTGTAAACAGCAGATTTCTGCTGTTTTCCTTGCTGTGGACAGCCATTTGGCTGCTATTTGTTCGTCGATTTGGGTTAGGTTTACTTGCGAACTCAAGTATTTCCTATCAAATTGGTATCAGAGCGTCGATTTGGGACCTTAGGCGGCTGAAATCCGGATTTTTTAGTGAGCTTTTGGCTTCCGGAAGTGAGTTACTTGAGATCCGTTGGGAAGAACGATGGTCGAAAAGAAAGTAGAAGTCTTCGAAGGCAAAGTCGGACAATTGAAATCCGATTTGGAGGGAAGATTCTTCGACTTTCAAAATCAAATCACCTCCAACAATGAAAGGTTGGAGGGGAAGTTCACCGTGATGGAAGAAATGATGAAGAAATTACTTGAGATGAAGACCCATCCAGCAACATCGGAAGTAAGAGAGACCACCGACGACCATGACATGGGAGAAAATTTGAACCCGTTGCGAGGGAGGAGGAATGCAGAGGTGGAGATCCTGGAGGAGGAGAACGATATGCCCCCTCTAGAACCGCTTTCTAGAGAAGAGATGAGTAGGGGATACGACAAACGAGAGGCTGATTTTATCGGAAGAAGAGAAGAATTTCATCGCCCAGGTGCTGAATTTGAGAGAATCCAGCGTCGAGGTGCTGATTTTGAAGGGGGAAGAGAGAAATTTCATCGCCGAGGTGCTGAATTCGAAAATCGAGGGGCTGATTTTGAAGGAAGAAGGGAGGAATTTTTATCGCCGAGGTGCTGAATTAGAAGAATTCAGCGTCGAGGTGCTGATTTTGAAGGAAGAAGAGAGGAACTTCATCGTCGAGGTGCTGAATTTGAAGGAACTCATCGTCGAGGTGATGATTTTGAAGGAAGAAGGGGAGAGTATGAAGAGGGGTTCGAGTATAATCGTCGGAGGGAAGATCGTGACAGTTGGGGAGCACCTCATCTTCGAGGAATGTGAGGCTATGGAGGATTCAGGGGAAACGAAGGAGACCCACAGGTGAGGAAGCTGAAGATGCCCGTCTTTGAGGGGGAAGACGGCCATGGCTGGATCTACAAGGTGGAGCGTTACTTCGCTGTCAACGGGTTGACAGAGAAAGAAAAGCTAACAACGACGGGATTGTGTTTGGAAGGAAAAGCCTTG